GGATCAGTTTTTGTAAAAATTATAAAAGCTTACTTTTTACGCTTTCCTGTGATCCTTACATTTATATTTAGGAAAATTTTGTATATATAATTGTCATATATTATTTCTCTCTCTATATATATTTGCATATATTTTTATATATATTTATTGTTTGACCGAGATATTTGATGATAAATTCGGGAATTATATTCAAGGACCGTACGCAAGTTGAAAAGCAAAATTTTTGCGTTTGTAAATAACTAAAAATAAAATATCCTTTAAGAAAAGTTTTTAATGTTAAGAAGTTATATTCCGACCATTTCAGTACAATTGGCTTTGAAAATATTTATCAATAAAAAATTTTTAGTGAAGATCTTACTCTTAGAATCTTATATAATTTGTAGTCTAGGAAATATTGGTAGGCTTGAATATTTGCACATAGCAAATATTTAAGCACTTGTGATATTATTTGCGTATATTAAAAAGGAAAATATTTATACTTTAATGAATTTTCTGTACAATTATCATATTATGGTTCTTAAGTAATAAAACTTCATGAGAATATTTATTAGTTACGTATTTTTAGACTTTGGAAGCTTATAAATTACTTCTCTGAAAACTTTGATTTGTGAAAATTCTTTCGGCATATCAAATGTAACAAAATTGTCAATTAAAATCACTGATAAATAACGAAATATCATTGAATGGCATTAAGAAGAGGGGCAAAATCATTCAAAGGAAAAAATCAACCTTGAATTATCCTAATTTATTTATTAATTGACCCTTCAATGCAAACTGGAAATGGCATCAAATATCGCAAATTTTTAAATTAAAATATCTGGGTCATTTTTGGTCTCACACGAGTCACATTTTTTGTGGGTTTTTTTTAATAGAGTAAATAATTTCCTAAATATAAGTATAGGAAGCAGAGTCATATTTAAAATGTTAGTTTCTTATTTTATACAAAACTGATTTTTCTAAATTTAAAATAGTAAAATATGAATTTTTGCGTCATTAAAAACATTTCTACAAGTTTGTATCTACTAACAACAGCTGCAAAAATTAAGGGCGGGTAAGAACTTGCGAGTTTGTAAGACCTTATTGATTCCTTTAAAATTGAACCGCCGTATGGAATCATCCACCATCGGATGCATAATTAGTGTATGTTGCTTTGCATATTCTTGTCTCATGAAGCCATACTTCTGAATATTTAGATGCATGTTTTTATCGTCATTTAAAAAGATTGGAATATTTCGTTTTCTTATTGTTATATGAGTATACCCGATTTACATGAAATCCTGGGTCTTAGTTTACTTTTCGACATATTTCCATTTATATTAAGGCAATCATCGCATCGTACTACCAACTTCTGAATTCCATCTTTGTAGATATCTGCCGCCTGGTTTGATAACCACTCTTTTTTAAAAATTTCAGAGTAAGCACAGCTCCAGATACTCTTGTAATTTAAGCGTTCTATCAAAATTCAAAGAACACTTTTCGTGCAGAAAATTGAATTCTTGAAACTTGAGTAAATTTTGTAGATAACGATGAAATCATAAGGCACTACGAAAATAACAAAGCGGGCGACCGTCCGTCATTATTGATGATCTGATGCGAAAAGCTGAAGAAAACGATCGAGGGAACAAGAGCTTTACGACTTCATTATTATCCCATGCAGTTTTCTCGAGAAGATAGGTTGAGTATGAACTTGTAACAGAATTCTTAAATTATCAGATATTAAAGTTATTCTGGGTATCAAAAATAGTTATCAAATCAAGGAGCAGATTTTTATGGAGATAGAATTCAGAAGCTAGTCATACATGAGATAAAAGCCTTAATGCAAGTAAAAATTATGTTGAAACTTAGATTAAGTACTTTCATGTACAAATATTTTTAATAGTCCATGTGCTTATGTGAAATAAAAATTTTAGTAACTTAAAAACTAGCCTCATATATTCGTAGGAAAGGAAAGCGTGCTACGTTATTTGCTTCAGAGTTTTACTGCTACAAGTCCTTCAACGTTTTAACAGCACTATTATGTGGTACTGCATGCCTTCGGTTATAATACCTACAAGAAGCTAAATCTATTTCTTGACTTGTTCAAATACAACTTCCATCTGTCAAGTGTTACATGCGCCCAGCAGCAGCCAAGAGGTAACTTGCGGAATGCTGGTAGTTCGACTTGGGTTCGATTCCAGACGAACATGCTGGCTGCATAGGCATTTTCATGTAACGCGGATACTCGCCCTCGAGTGCTTCCCCATGATCAAATAGACCAAACCCAAAATAACTAGGTGTTATAAAAAAGCTAACTTGGGGATTTCTTTCTATTAGCTTAAAAGGTTTCTGAAAACAGACACACGTATTCGCTTTATTTTCGCTCACCACTTGCGAGAGCTGAGTTAAAATATTACGCAACAAAGTTGCCAGTCATCTGGAGTGAAAACGAAAACTTCAAACCTAGCCTTAAACTAGTAAACTCAAATCCAGCCTTTAAATGCCTTTAGTTATAATATTTATTTACACTTTAAAAGAAGCTACAAAGTTACACCAAATTATCATAGGATTATTAGTTATTCCTCGAATTTTATGCTAAACTGTTTGCTGCTCAAATCTACATAATTTCTGGAATGAGCGCGCTCGCAACAAAATGAGTTAATAACAAACCTGAAATATAATGCCACAATAAAATGCATTTTGTAAGTGATATATAAATTTTGCTGCGTGTTACACTTAGTGCGGGTCTTCTTCACGATGCATGGTTGGAAGTCTGGCCATGATTTTTATGATTTTGTTGTAGAGGCATACGTGGAGCCTATATTTTTAATTCTGTGTAATATGAGTTTCTTTTTAAGTGCAGGTTAGGTGTCAAAAGGCAATCGAGCAGTAGCTATAGACTTCAGCTCTACTCGCTTAGATAAATTACCGTTTGGTTTAAAGAATTCCCTTGCTCAAATGCTGTTATTATCCGCAGTAAAAATAGTAAAGTTACCTATCTCCTTAAGTGGGTCTTCACTTTCATCTCCATCTCTTTTACCGCAATTTATCTAATCCTGTATCTTTTGCCCTTTCACGAGCCATTTATTCGGAGCCTTAGAACAACGAAGGCCACTTCTGAGTTCGCACCTAACACACACACAAAAAAAATCAACTCGGAAGAGGATCAACAACACAGGAGAAAAGCCCGGATGAAAAATCTCAGCAGCTTCTTTGCGATCACTTACTTAACATCATTTTGCGCTTCCTCGTGCCGGCTTTGTATATCGATGAAGATCGAAAATAATAAAAGGGGTGAAGTTTATCGATTCTATTTATTTCGGAAGCTAGACAGACTGAATAATTTAATCCTAGTAAAGTACGCTGCAGAGGGTTTCCGCAGAGAATGTTTTGTTTTATAGCGAATGGAATGGAAGAAAGAAAAAGAGATATTTTATAGATTTGTATGCATTCGATAGGAAGTTTCCTGTGCTACGTTTCGTGTAGTATACTCCTTTTATAACGTTGTTCAGTAGACCCACTTCGGATATTATGAGAGAGTTGCCCATCTGGTGTACTAATTTAATGTGAGCGTGAAGTTTCGCGAAGAAATTCAGGATTTCCAAGATTTCGCGACTCCCAAATTTTTTCGCAATTGTCAGATAAATTAGCAAATTTAAAATGATTTTTTCTCTTGCTTTCTAATTTTCATATTTTGGAAAACTTTTGATAATTAAATAATTACATATATATAATCGTATATATATGTACGCATAGAAAGAGCTAATTATTTAATTAATATATATTATATATATATATATATACGATGCAGTTTAGAATGAGAGAAAGCACACACACATACGGAAAAAAAGTTCGGTGTGAATACCATATGGCTTCCTTGCTCGGTCTATTAAATTATGCACATCATTTAAACCTATTCCCTCGAATTATTCTATTTTCATTAACCGATCCCTCAAAGCAACTTAAAAATGGCTTCAAAAACTGCAGATTTTGAAATTAAATATACTGGTTAATTGCTGTGGCAGAGGAGTCAAATATTTTGTATTTTTATAACGAATTTTGTATTTTTTTCATAATGAGTATAAAACTTTCCTAAATACTGTATAGGGACCGGGAAACTGCATTAAAAATTAGATTTCGTTATTTATGCAAAACTAATTTTATTTTAAATTTGAATTTATAGGTTCTAGCTCTCATAGGCTACATAAACTCATCTAGATCCTACTAGTGAACCTAGCGACTTCTCACACAGGCGTGAAATAATACCAGCACAGAAGAAGTGTGAAAATAATTCTTTAATTATTTTCAACTATGAACAGAAAAGGCATATACTTCTTGCCTTACAGTAACACCAACAACTTGTGTTGGAAACTAACAATTTTTAACGCAGATAAATTCAAGTCTCGAAAGGAATAGTGCTGGATTAGCACTTAAGTTACGGCTAGCTAAATTGACTCAACAAACCTAACAGGCAAGGTAATTATTCAAAATGGCCAAGAGACGTATCAGTGTAACAGCAAGATCAGAAACGAAACGTACGCTGGCTAGCGAAAACACGCTCTAAATAAACTCCAAAATTCACCCGTTTAAATACTCACTTCACTTAACTTTAAATTTACATCCTGGCTAGAAAATGCGAGGGAAAGTTGAGGAGTTCAGGAGAGATAACAAAAATCTGAATAATACGTTAGTTGAACTAAGGGAAACCCTACAGGTTTACCAAAGACAAGAATAAAATACTTCTGCAATTGGAAGTATATAGCTATGACAACGATCGCGAAGGGGGTGCGTATGTATATAATACACACACATTTAGTACTACCAGTTGCCACAAAAAAGGTAGGTGAACAACTACATGTTATGGCACAAAAATTCAACTTTCTACGTCTAATCTTTTTGAGTCATGCGAAATACATAAATACGTGCATGCATTATTTTTTGATTCAGGAATATGCATATTTATTGAAATAATTTTCTTATGTAGGAATTGAATGCATTAAAATATCACCCAATTTTATTTGCAGTTGAAAGCAGATTTTCGAAGTGCGCTTTTCAACCTGGCATTATTGCTTTCAGAAGCACGACGGCCTCTCGAAGCTCTGCCTTTTCTTCAGCAGTTGAGAAAGGTAAGATTTAGTTACTATTTTAAATGCGGAAGATGAAATACTTAAAAATGCAAAAAAAAAATAATAATTATCAAATGATGTAATTAGTATTTCAGCAGTATCATGTACTTATCAGCGGCAAAAAATGTCTTAGCAAAAATTTCATCAGGTAATGAAATTGCAGGGGGAAGTATGTTTTATCCACTAGTTTTAGTTGGTAACCCTGCCAGAATACGAGTGAGTATATTTAGCATACCTACATCCACGGAGAGATAGGAGTCAGACAATTAGGCCATGGAAACAATAAGCACGGTGCAGTTACGGACTGCAACGAAGGATATCTATATTCAAAGAGGATCGATCATAGATGCACAACTGGCATTGTAGCGGACAAATGAAAATTGCCAGAATAGTGGGCAATACAACTGGAGATACAATTTAGTTTCAAGAGGACAGCAGAAGTATGACTGTAATCCAATGCGTATTTCCTTCCAAACTGTCTGGTTTCCCGTTTTGCCGATTTGACTTCGTCATCCTGCTACCCAGATTTAAAAGTTCCCGCCTATTTCCTTTACCTAAAAGAACCTAAGAACCTATAGCCTAAAATAACCTTTCCTTTACCTAAAAGAATGAATCTCTGAACTTCAAGGCGGTACTGACGATTGAAAACTGAATGCTATCAGAAAGTACAAGCTGTTTCCCAGCATATGCCATGAAAGCTTCCCTGCATTGCCTGAAAAAATATACCCAAGTTGAAAGACAACATTATTATCAGGGTTCGCTATGTGTGCAATGCCCATATTATAGACTGTATTAAATGCCTGTATGTGTACTACTGTTTCGTAGAACGAAGTTACTGTTTTCCTGTGTCTATTTAAAGTTGGTTAGTATAATTAAATACACCAAATACACACCTCCTGGCCCTTGCACAGAAATTTTCCTTAGCGATCCTCCGTTTCGTTCACCAGAAGAATTATTCACAGATGTTGCCTTACGCTTCTACTACCCATACTTTCGAAGATTCACCTTCCGGATTCGTGCAGCTGGGTTCTGCTTTATGCTCATGGACTTGCTGTATTTCTCTCCATATTGTAGAATTTAATCCGGTTCTTGCTGCTGCCACCTGTTTTGAATCAACGATCAATATAAGTCCATTTGATGTTGAAATTTTAATTTGTTAATCTTAATTAATTCATTCATTTCTAAATGAAGACAGATAGATGTAAGTTCATGTTATTTTGTTTAGCTTAAGACTGTATTGAAAATTTACGAGAGAAGAAAATTTTAACTGTTGCTGAAAGGATATGAAATTTTATTCTGTTTTATTTACAACAGAGTTGCTTACGGGTTAGTTCTTGTTTAATACTTAAATTTTTAATTTGACTGCAATTTAGTGTCACGGAAAACTTGTGGATTTGAGAGTATGCATGTATGCCTAAATTAAGTTTCTGTAAGGTATAACCACCTTATTCTAAGGTACGCATTTAATGCAATATAATAACACTTTTATATTCTAATGGATATTGAAGGGGAGTTGTTAATTGTAGATCAGCAAATGTCTCTAATGAAATACTAAATATTATCTAATTTGTTTTCAATATATTTTGAGTTAGGTGTCAAGCTGCCCTGATATGATAAAAATAATTACATGAATACTTAATTGTTTCTTGTTTACCATTGGTTGGTTTACCTCACCGACATTAGTGTTACATAGTGCAATAGGTGTTAATTAATTTGTGTAATAGATTTGATTTTAATGTAATTTAAGGTTGTAAAATTGAAAGTTTTCACAGGAATATAGTAAGAAAACTGTTGAATAAAAAACTTGTGTATTAAGGGAATTGTTAATAATAATTAATCTCCCGGGGGGGATTTTGTAATTTTATAGTATCAATAGTTTATGCTAATTGTTTAAATTACTATCAAGGTAGAATAAAATTCAAGATTTTTTTAAAAAATTGGATAAATTTTGTATGTTGTTTATTTATATTGCCTTGCCTGTATACACATGATTACCACCAGTCATCATCAAAAGGTTGTTCGAGTTTTTACATGGGTAAAGGTTACACAACGCATTTCTGAAATTATTACATGATTGATTTTACTAAGGTTAACTTGTTTGGTGGTCTTCTAAAAAAGCCACATACAACACAGTTCTTTTTAGACACAGCAATGATTCGCTCCATGTTTGTTAGGAGTAACATACTAGTTTATGCTATCAAAGAAATCAAACTCTTTGAGTGTTACACAATTTAAAATGTCACAATAGAGACTCGTGTAATAATGAATAAGTCAATTTATTTTGCACCGTAATAAACCATCTTAAGCCCAGTCGTGTTTCATTCTATACCTAGAACTCGATTTTAGGTAATTTGGTTACGTACTGTAGTTATGCTGTAGTAAGAACGAATTCTAACTTGAAGTCGCAGTAAATACCCGAATTAAAATCTCAATTCGCATCCTTCCCAACCTCTGTAGTGATAACAAGTTGTCACTAGAAAGTACGCAGAAGTACAGATGCTCGTAGATACTTCGCATTTTTGTTGTTACTGTTGTTGTGACGTATTCCACCCGATCGACAGAAAAATCAGATCTGGTCTCTGAAATCAGAGAAAGCCAGTGAAATACATCGTGGTGAGAAGTCAAGATTGCGCCTGTCGTTGGCAACAGCCATGACTACCATATAAGTGACAGAATTTGATCAGCTCCGCCTCCAAATGTGATGGAGAGCGCCTCGGACAGGTGACAGATGACGGAGGACGAGGACGCCTGGTGTTTAACGGAGGTAAACAGGCATATGTCCCACGCCCTCTTCTATATAGATACAAGAACTCCCTGGGGTCCCACAAGGGCGCACCGGGAGTTACTGAGCCTTCATGAAAACGTTTACATGGCCATACAAGGGCTATTCCAGTTTGACATTGGTTCTGTACAGATTCTTATGTTAATGGTTGACCTGGGTGTTCATAGGCCATAATGCATACATGAAACATAACATTACATACATGATATATGACATGACATTAAACTTATACATAATACTTGCATGAATTAGTACATACATACTTTACACTTCACATGACATTACACTACACATACATAATGCATGACATTAATCTACACTTAATAGAGTTATAACCTGACTGTATACTACGTTAAGCTAATTGTATTGCGAACTTGCTAAGTTACTTTATAACTGGATTACTTATAGTTTACATTATTGCTATTACTTCTTAAATCACATTATGCAATATAACAATATAGGCACACATACTTTGCCTTATAATCATATATGCGTTACTTAAAATAATACACATGGGGCACGCGCTAATGACTACATTACCGATTACGTTATGTTAAAAGTACACATAGTACGACGTATTACACTCATTGATTAAATTACTAGGGGGGACGGGTCCGACGGTCTCCCACCCCTCTTCCCTTACCACCAACCTCTCGAGAGGATTTTCGACTCGCCGCGTATTTAGAGCGCACCTATGCCGCCCAGACAATATGCATGTACAAATATCCATGCCTTCTCCGGGATTCGAACCCGGGCCCTTCGGTACGAAAGTAGCGTCACTACCACTATCCCGATTGGGCGGCACTTTGCATTAGAATAAATCCGTTTTGACGCGTTAAACGGACTGCGGCTATTTACGGTAACATGTATATATCGAATTCAAAACTTTAATACTGTTAAAACATTTGAAAACTCGTTGTTTGTAATTTATTTACTCAAGTTAAAACTCAAAATGTTGGTTATTGTCAGAGGAAAAAATCAATTTGACCATAATTCAGTAAAATATGTGTACATAGTTATATCCTAAATGAAAATTACGTACTCTAAACATTCTTTTAACAAATATATAATATGTGGTGATAGTGTAATATGAATTTACAATTGGTGCTCTATAAATGGGAAATTTAATTAAAAGTCAAAATCAATAACACAATCAAGCAAAAAAAAAAAAAGAAAAAAGAAAAAAGAAAAAAGCATGCTTCTTCATAGAAAATACAGATCAAACCTTCTGATACTATAAATCTTTCTTTTAAACATCTGTATGAATGAATTAGTTGAAGTCTGTATTACTGCTAAATTTAACACTAACTAGATTACTGCTAGTTTCGCAGATAATCTGAATAGCATCAATCGATTGCCAGTAAAACTGGAATGAATTTTATAGCTTTCAAATGAATTTTAGCCAAATCAAACGGGTTCATTTCCTTTCCAAAGAAATTTGGTTTAGATTTCGATGTGCCCTCGTAATTGAATACACCTTTTTCATATAACTGACTACTTAAGCATCCAATCCCATTCGTATGTTTATTAACTTTTCATTTCGTTCCAGTTTAATTTTATTTTTGCCAAGATCCTCTTCTTAGTTACTTAGATAAATAACAGCCATTAACTAAATTTCGACTTCATCGAATATTTTAGAAGACATTAAGATAATTTTAATGACTCACATAAAGTGGTGGTGGGCATAATAAACATCATCTTAATATTTTCTGACCTGGAGTAAACACATTTTACGTCCTAATAATTCTTAGAGCGTTCTGGATATTTTTTCCTTCGCTTTTAATATGCCTCCAATCATTAAATCCGCTCTTCTCGGCTATTTCAACAACTCGTATCCGTCTCTAACAAGAAAAAATAAGATTTATATTCCAAAGAAAATGAGAAAATTCATAATTTATGACCCAGCCGTACGACAGCAATATTTTCGAATAGGTTGAAGTCACGATAGTTTGTGTATTCGCAGTTACTAATTAGTTAATCTTTCATCTAAAGATGCATAACATCGTGTGCTTTTTCTTCTTCTGCTGCCTTTTGGATTTGTTAATTGCATTTTACGTTTTATAAAACATGATTTTTAATTTTTTCAACAAAGAATAGTTAACGTAATAACAAAGGTTATCGCAAAAAAGGTATTTAATGTAACTCTGTTGAATAAATAGGCAAATTTGGGAGCTTTTCTCTGATGTCTAAAATGATTTTATTTAATCCTTTATTCTTA